GTCGAAGATCTCTTGCGCCCGCTCTAGGGTTTGCGGCTCCTCCTCCGCCTCATGGGGCACCACCCCGCCTCCTCGGTGGCTCTGGGTTTGGCGTCGGCGGGGGCTGGGGCTGCTCCTCCTCCCAGTGGCGCCTGCCGTGTTCTCTGACGAGGAGGCCATGGGCGACATCTTTGCTGCGCAGCGGCGGTGGCTAGGTTCCCCTTCTAGGCGCGGGGAGCTGCGGGTGGAAGGGAAGGGGGAGGAAATAGGGAAATTTTGGGGGAACAGAGCGCGAACTAGCGAGGGGGGGTATGCAGGGGTTGCCGCCAATGGGATTCTAGGTTGGGTCCGTATGGGCTTGTTGCGGCTGTGAGTGTGGGCCGTGATGGGCTATTTGTCTTGATCCATATTGTGGGGCACGTGAGCTTAGCGTGGGGCCCATTTTCTTTAGCGACAGACAGATTGACGGTATACTTGGCTTTAGCGACAGATGGTTCAACGCTAAATATGAATATCTATAACGTCAGACACTAAATCGCTAAATGAGGATTTAGCGTCAGATGGTCTCTGAGTTATCTTTAGCGTCAGATCATCCATCGCCAAATATAATTTTTAGCGTCAGATGTCTAACGGTGAAGCGGTGTTGTGGTGTAGTGTCATCCACGGAGGCGGAGCAGCGGCGGAGCCGTCGTACGCGCGCGGTGGACAACGGAGCTTGTTCACCCGGATGATCGTGCCCAGGGACGCCGCGGCGGAGACCGCCACGACGGCGAAGCTGAGGAAGCACTACCACTGCACCATGCTGCTGGGTTGGGCTGCTGGTCTTTGATGACCGGTACAAGGCAAGCAGACAAGCACAGGTACAAGGAGCAATGAAGGAAGGAAGAGAGAGAGAGAGAGCGCGCGCGAGAGCTAGTTGTTTGGACTAGTGGTTCATATTCGACCGGCAGCTGATGCCACCAACTCATGACTCATGAACACGCCGTACATTTTACTGCTTCCAGCCAGGTCTAACCGTCTAAGACTGTTTTCAACCAACTCGACCCAAAATATAAGATCTATTCATTTTTGGGTAGCGCTACAGACAAAGGGTTCAATACCTATTTTTGTCTTCTCCAACGACAAGACCCAAAAGACAACCTTTTTACAAATGGGTCTCCAGGAGAGAGGATATTCATATTTGGGTTATGCCTCTCCTGGCACTCAAAATGAGTCTTCCATATAGATACTCTGTTGGAGAGTATAGATATTGTGTTGGAGATTTATTTTGGATTTGAATTTCACAATGGGTCTTCTGTTGGAGACAGCCTAAGTGCCCAACTTTTCACTTACTTGCAACCGTGAACAGATCCGTCCCCAAAAAAAAACTCAAGACTGAGCACTTCAGGTCCCGTTTGGCTTTTCTGACGCACGTATTGTTCACAATTTTTTTCTCTCTCTTCTCTTCTTCTCTCAGAGTCGGTAAAGCCAGTTTTTTTACTCCCCTGGCTCCACTGGCTCTGTGAAACAAGGAGAAAGGAGGGGAAAAAGACCTTGTGTGAACAATGTGTAAATAGTGCGTGCGTTAGAGTAGATGGAGCCGGTACAAGCTTTTACCAAAGGGGGCCTCAGTCTCTTCAGTTCGGTCTTTGATCCTGACCAAACTGACCAACAAAAAAATCACAATGAAATCAAGCATGTATTCGGATGAATCAAAGCCACAAAAGATGAGTCAAAGCAAGAGAGCACGTGTACAAACTAGGTCATAGTTTTTTTTTGCCAGGACTCCTCTTATCATACGTCTCTTAATGTTGTGTCAAGACTAGCTTCCGCATATGTTCCAGTATGCCAGCGCATAAAATGTGCCTGAACTGATATGTTTTAGTTTTTTTAAAATTTTAAATGTTTTTAGTTTGTTTTTTATTTGATCATCAACGGCACGCTGGCAAACAGAGGAAGGAAACGGTCAGGGAAAGGGGAAAAAACGTATACCACCGTGCTCGAAAGTTTGCTTTGGAATAATACGGCCCATGAGCCCAATGCAAACACAGCCCACCATCAAAAGCCACAGGCCCACGGCATTTACTAACCAGTCTGAAGACGAGGACAGCCCACTAGTCATCACTACCCACCTTTGTCAAAGACTCAAAGGCCAGGGCATCAGTAACCGGAAAAAGTTCACATTACCTCTTAACTTTTGCGAAAGTCTGTTTTTTTTTGTCTCTCGATCTTTAAAATCGGGTAAACCACCTCCCTAAACTTTTAAAACCGTCCGTGTTACCTCCCTGGCCAGTTATAAGCAGTTTTCAAAGACGTTTTTGCCTTTTTTTTATCTATTTCGGCCAAATCTTTTAAAAATGATAGTAAATCATAGAAAAATCATAAAATAAATAATCCAATTTTGTTGGACTTCACGTGAGTAGATCTATACAATAGTACATATTTGTTTGTTGTAGCTTTAAATCTATGTTTTTCTATAATTAATTCATAACTGCAGTTTCTATGATCCAATTATGGTGAATTTTTTATCGTGGGATAATTATTGTATACTTAAACTGTAGTGAAAATTCCATACTCAATGGATCATGTATAACTTAGTTATAAATCTACATGATCCAATGAGTATGAAATTTTTACTACAATTCAAGCATATAATAATTAGCCTACCATAAAAATTTCATCACAATTGCACCATAGAAACTGCAGGTATTAATTAATTATAGAAAAATATAGATCTAAAGCTACTGCAAAAAATTTATACTAAAGCATACCATATTATATATTCACTGTGCAGATCTACTCATGTGGAGTCCAACAAATTAGACTTTTCATTTTCTGATTTTTTTGTGATTTACTATGATTTTTCAAAGATTCAGCCGAAATAAATAAAAAAGAAAAAGACAAAACCGCCTTTGAAAACCACTTATAACTAGTCAGGGAGGTAAACCGAATGGTTTTAAAAGTTCAGGGAGGTGGTTTACCCGATTTTAGATTTCAGGGAGGAAAAGCGGACTTTCGCAAAAGTTGAGGGAGGTAATATGAACTTTTCCTCAGTAACCAGAACACAGACCACCAGCTCTAAGCCCGCAAGCAAATTTGTATTTCTCCATTCTTTTCTTCTTTTTTATTTTAATAATCTAACCATTATAAAGACCAAGTTGATACTCTACGCCTTGTATCCCAAAAAAAATATGAAAAACTCGCTTCTCGAGTAGTTAAACAATCTCAAATCTGAGATTCAAACTCTAATAAATTGTGACACTCGTCTTCATGAACGTGGTTGGTTGGATTGCTCGTACCTCCGCTTCGCTGAAAAGCCACGCTAAAAAGTACGATTTGTTGATTTGTTGTGAGAGGAAAATCCTGTACCATGACTGATAAGCCAGGCTGATAAGTTCATGCGAACGGGGTAGTCTCAAAAAATTATTGAAAGGCATTCAAGCCTAAATCTTGTGAAACGTTGTTTTAAGATGCGGCCCAGTGGACCAAGAATTTCCATCCTAAGTTCCCATGCTAGCAAGTGCAATTTTTCTACATGTATGGTTGACCAGAAATAACATTAATCTTTGACATAAAAAATGTAATTTTCTTATTTACAAGTTATTTTCAAGCTATTTGCTAGACACAGTTCAGGTCTATTCTTTGAAAGGAGGATGAGAAGCCCAAAATAAAATTGGGCATGTTGAATGATGAAACCATGGCAATGAGAATATTCGCCAAGCATGGCACTTTACTACCTCTGTCCTCAGAAAAATACTATTCAAATTTCGTTTCGCTAAAATTTGGCTTATGCTGATTTGTTGTGAGAAAAATATTGTTTGTTCGTTGAAAAGTACTGAACGAATAGGGCCATCTTTGACTAAACTATCTAAATTTTGATCGAGTTTATAGAAAAGAATGTCAATAATTATGACACCATATGGGTATGTTATGGAAACATACCACGACAAATCTAATGGCATTTATTTTATACCATAAATATTGCTACTTTTTTTATATAAACTTGGTCTAACTCAAAATAATTTGACCTAGTACTATTTGAAAATTGTTTTTTTAGCATGAAAGAAATAGTTTGTGTTAGGGATTTAGCCTCGGACAGCACAGCCCCAAAGTTGACTAACAAATTTTAACTAAGGGCATGTTTAGATCCCTTCCGGTTTGGAAAATAGACACTGTAGCATTTTCGTTTGTATTTGATAAAAATTGTCTAATTATGGACTATTTAGGCTTAAAAGATTCGTCTTGTTAATTACGGGCAAACTGTGCAATTAGTTATTCTTTTTACCTACATTTAATGCTCCATACATGTGCCGCAAGATTCGATGTGACGGGAAATCTTGAGAAATTTTGGATTTTGGGTAGGATCTAAACAGGGCCTAATAATTTGTCTGTCGCAAACTACGTCCTTTGCAGAGGAGTGACTTCACGCTTTCCAATTAACGAGCTAAGACTTTGTCCTACTATAGAAAATTTAGAAGATACTTGTATGAATTGTATTCATTCATGCAAAATTAGTCCACATGGGTTCCAAATGGTTTTAAACGATTGGTACTTGCCGAATGATTAACGAGCCTGAGTATTTAGCTCCCCCATGCTTAAGATGGTGCAAAAATATGTCAACTCTACTTTCCAACTCAATTTCCAGGCTCAAGCCACAAGACAATGAACCAAACTAAAATTAGGAATATCTAACGCTCCCTGATCAAGATGGCTCAAAAGGAGTCGTGCATACTTAATTTCTTTCCCAGTTCTACTTATACATCCTCAGTTCTCATGTTCAAACCACAAGATAACAAAGTAATGAATCAAGCTAAAACTGGGCAACTCCCAAGCAAACTTCACAGTGATGATCAAGATAACAGACAAAAGAGATGTGATCCCTTGCACAAAATGAAGAACCCCTAAAGGCCAACAAACTAAGACCATCACTAATCTTACTCATCCTAAAGAGTTATCCCACCTTCAAAATAAACTAGTAACCACAACGATCATCCCTTTTAACCTTGACCGACAAGCCTCCAAAATGGAGAGCCTTATGTTTATCAGGCATTTGAGGTGCCTGTTCTTGATACCTCGGCAAAGGCTGCTCCCAATGCTGCAGAAATGCATAGTTTGGAAAATAACATCAGCTGGTCGATTTCCATTGGTGAACATTCTGTTACTAACCAGCCACGAAAGCAACAAGTTGCTCGGTAACCAAATAGATAAATAACCACATAAAACAAATAGATAAAGATCGAGAACTAACCATCAACGGCTGGATTCATAACTCTTGAGAAACCCCTCTCATCCATGTATTATATTGTTAAGTTACTTTGACAATAAATCACAGCCAAAGAATGCAAAGGTGTTAAGGATATGTAGGAGGTTGATATCTGGATGTGCAGAAGGTTGTGCAGGTTATGTCTTTTTGGTTTCTTCCCTGTTGGATACCTTAATGGCCAATCTAAATCATTTTTCAAGACAAATAGAAGACAATGAAAGCTCCTATGCATGTCTAGCCAATTTCATGAATCTGGTTCATAAAAATAAGGTTGTTACAAAGGACAGTAGAAGCATCACAGCCTTAAATGTAATTGTGATATCCCACTTTCATGAATTCATTTTGCTTGAGCACAAATACCATCATCCAAAACTTCATGACACTAAATGAAATAATAATGCCCAACCTGAATACTAGTCGGTCACAAAATAAGTGACGTTATATATCCATGTTAAAGACAGGCATGATGCATAAGTCTCTCACTCTTATACACTAGTTACCTGGAGTGCAGAAGCTCATGTAGGGGAAACTTTCATCGCAGCAACTTTCTTCGCACACCTTTGTGACACTGATGGACTTCAGATCAATAGTGAAAATCCCCACACTTGTCCTCACAAAAAAGACATCAAGGCCATGTGCAAAGCCAGTCAGAACCATCGGAACAAGTGTGTTGTCATGAGCAGGTAAGCTTAATGACTTTGCTTGCCCGTCCTGCACCATCGTTAGGGCCAGCCTTCCTCGACCACAGGTACAATTACTTGAACGTATGTAGGCAAGTCCAAGTCCACCGTCCTCGGTAGCCATGAGTGGAGCGCGTCCCCATAAGAAGCATTTTTCTGGCAGGACAATCAAAGATAGTTCCCGTGTGGCCAAATCATACTTGAGGACACTATGCATACACCGAAAGTAGAGCGCATTCTCTGCAAGGGCACTTGGCTCCAATCGGATATCATCAGAGAACTGAGGAGCAGAGATCTGCTGGCTCCACGAATCAGACTCCGATGAGTAGACATGGGCACACATCGCGGACGTTTCCACGTCCTTGCCGCTGCCTACAAAGACGACCAGTAAGGGTCCGCGGTGGCAATCGAGGTGTTCACAGCCTTCGGTGGCTGCAGCGCAGAGCACGGCGGCATTCCAGGACCAAGGGTAGACGGGCCCCGGCAGAAGCACGGGCAGTTTCCTCCGTTCGCCCGTGGTCGGGTCCCAGACATGGAAGGCATCCTCCCAGGGCTTCCGATCCGAAGGGCCCCGGCTCTGGAGGAGGACGCGGCCATGGCGCGCGTCGATCGCGCGACTGTTGACGCGATCGGCAGGGGGCGCGCGGAAGGAGGAGGTGGAGACGAAGGACGACGCTCGCCCGTGATTGCGGAGGAAGCCGAGCATCGGGGGCGTGCGGTGGAACTCACGGAACCGGCGGCGGAATCTAGGATCGGAGACGATGCGGCGCCAGCGCTTGCAGACGAGCACGGCGCGGAGGAGGCGCGCGGGGTCGTCCGGTGGAATACGGAGGAGAATCTCCTCCACGAGCTCGTCCATCAGCGCCGCCGGCGGCGCCGGCCGTGGCGCCATGCTGCTCGCCGCGGATCCGACTAGGGTTTGGTCGGCGGAGCTGCGCGCGGTGGATTGGGCATTTGGGCTCAGTGAGAGTGGAGTGGAGGGGAGTGTGATCTGACTGGAGGATGAAGAGGTGCTTCACCAGCCGTCGCCCATGGAGATTGGAAGCTCTGTGGGGGCCTTAATTGACCTCTCGGTAGCGAGCAGCGATGGAGGAGCGGTCACGACTCACGAGCAGAGAGAGGGTCGCGACTAGAGAGCCGGAGAGGCGCGATTCGCGAGCGGAGAAGGGAGAGGAGGCGAGGAGCACTGGCGGCGGCTGAATGGAATGTGACGGTTAGAGATGGCAATGGGACTACCTGACGGGTTTGGCCCCCCGCTACCATGAAAACCCCACGCTGTCCGTCCCCGTCCCTGTCCCCGCACAGGGATCACAGCCCCGATGGGTCCCCGTCCCCAAGACTTTCCTTTTGTCCCTTCTTCTCAGATTGAGCATCCACTGCTTCCTTGAATCCTACAGCAGCTTGTTTTCTGTATAGGCCGTTGCCCAGGAGGAGGAGCAGGTGCTTCACCGGTCATCGGCTCGTGGACCATAGAGATTCGGGGTAGGTCTAACATTACAAGGTGGGGGCACCAATGTAACCGCATAAGATACAGCCGGCTGTCGCCACTTGACAGGTGGGGTGATTTTGATTTTGAGCGGCTCGGAGAAAGTTTGCAATAGCCATGAATGAATTTTTTTCTGGATCACGCAAAAGATTGTGCGTTTTTGTATTAAGATGGAAAAAGGTTCAATGAAACATGTCTTAGCGGTGTCCTAGGGTTTCAAAAAAAATTTACATGAACGCTCAGACCCTCCCTAATATACTGCAAACTGTGCTATTACATTGGATATTGACCAAACCGAACTGTAGGGCCGACTAGGAGGCCTCTGTCCAGACCTTGGAGCGGCGGCAGCCTTGCTTCCACGCGCCCACCTCACCGTCTGCTGGAAACAACTCACGCAACACCTGCATGCGAGCTCCGTCACCACTGAAGATGTCCTCGTATGTCGGGGCCGAACTCGACGGAGACGGCATCTCGTGGGTTAGTCCCAGGCGCTTCTTGACAAAGGTACTCACCTCGCTTAGATGCCGGGATGCGAGAAAAGCTCTGCACCACTAACCGCTTGCTCCGCCAGGGGAGCTTGGGCGACGCACGATCGTCGTGGGCCGGATCAACTTCGATAGCTCAAGGAGTGGTGGCTCCCTCCTCTTTATAATTCGCTCGGTGAAGCGCTTGAGGCGCCAGCCAGGCGAGCTCGTCTGAGGCGATGGAGTGCCGTCATCCGTGGGTGCCGTGGTCGTTGACCTCGGGGTGGCTGTCTTGATCAGCGCTGGTTCCGGGCGTGTCTCGGCACCCACGGTGTCGAGCTGTCCCCCTTCCCCCGCAGCGGCGTGACTGGCGGCCTGTGCATGGGCGACAACAGAGGCAAGTCCGTCGTGCCCTGGGCAGCCTTCACCGGAGAGTGGGTGATCACCTGGGACGCGTCCACTTCTAGAGCTGCTGCTGCCGCCGTTGCCGGCGGCAATTGATGTGGTCCTGCTGGGCGACTTTCAACGAGTGAGGCGGTGAGCTCCTCTAGCATAGGGTCACCCCATGTGGGAGCCCCCTACTCGCGCACAGCTCCAACACCATCATATCTGGCTTGGGGAAGCAGAATACGGTAGTAGTGGTAGCAACGTTGTTGGAGCAATCGGCTACTGTGCCCAAGCTGATGTCCCCTGCCAGCTTACTCCGGCTCCGCCATCACCGTCGCCAGGTTCCATCGGTGCCCCTCGCGACAACCTACACAGCCCTGCCCGAGCTGCCATGAGATGCATGCTGGGAGGCCCGTGGGCTCCCGCCACGAACAGAGTGGTGGGGCCAGTCGCCATTAGCTGCTAGAGCCACAACATGCTTGGCCGCTTGTAGCCCCTAGCGAGATGGCGAAAGCCATGGCAGCGCAGACAACGCCGTGGCAAACAGCAAGTCACTACTCAGTGCGAGATGGCAGAAGCCATGGCAGCACAGGCAACGCCGTGGTAAATGGCAAGTCACGACTCGGTGCGAGTAGGAAAGGTAGTTGAAGCATCTGTCGTGAAGCTCTGCGAGGATCGTCCAGGGCTGCAGAAGCTGCTTCTCAATCGAGGCAGCCACAGGTCGTGCTTCTAGCTAGGGCAGGATCTCATGCCACCCATCGGTGTCGGGGACGGAGACCCACCCGCGGTGGCCGAGGCGATGACGGGTAGGGACACGGTCATCGACCGGCCAAGCAGGCATGCCACACACTGGCTGAGGACGTGGCCTTCTTCGCTTCCTCCATCTTCGGTCAGGTCAAAGGCGTTTGGTTTTGGCACCATCACGTCCCAGGGGCACAACTGAACGAGTCTACGCGCGCAGAGGTGGCGCAGTGACCAGCATCACCGGGCGACGAGCGGCTTCTAGATAGGTTGTTGGGTGACCATCGTCGGAGTCCTCGCCATCGTCATCTGCCCACCGGTGGCTTTTCGTGCGCCCTACCATGGAGCAACCCGGGAAAGAACAGAGTCGCGTTCGGCGAGAGCGTAGGTCAAACTTGGGGTAGCTAGCGCCTCCACGATGGCCTGGCGGGCGCAAGGCCTGGCCAGCATGTGTAGGCTGGCGTTGGTGCTGGAGGCAGCATCGGCAGACGCCGCGGACCCACTGTTGAAAGCCGTGGTGGCGCCGGCACCTGGCCCCGGTGTAGCTGGGGCAGGGACTTATCGAAACTGGCTTGAGGGTGGGGCGGGGGCGCGAGCCTGAGGAGGACCACCGTTCGAGCACTCGGTGTCAGTGTAGGGCCTGCGAGGCCGACCTCGATGGAGTTTGTGGTGAGAACCGGCCCTAGGGAGTCACCCGCCGGCGGTGGGGCAATCACCGTTGGAGGCCGCGCGAACGGCGGCGGCGATGCATCTATGCCTGCGTGTGCCCGGGGAGGTGGGAAAGGAGGGGCTGGTGGTGGATCTAGGAAGGGGAGAGAGTGGAAGTGACGGGGCGACGGCGGCGGCCGCCGGCGATGGCCGCGTGGATGGCGGCGGCACAAAGCTTCACTGCCCGTGCGCGCCCGGTGAGGGGGGAAAAGGGAGGGGCTGGAGGTGGATCTAGGGAGGGAAGGGAGGGGAGGGGAGGTGGGGGCGGGCGCCGGCGCCGAGGCAACAGCGGCAGGGAGATGGCTAGGAGAGGGGTAGGGTTGGAGCAAAGCCGCCTCACTATGAAGTATTGGAGAGTGGCCGTGAATGAATGAAATACGAATACAAATTGTTCATCTAATCTCAATATTATATGTATTTAAAAAGTTACTGTTTACATGGTGTGAGAATATTTGAATTTCATATATGAAATATTAACACCCTGTCAGTTCTATGTTCAGCTACCATGTCATTCTTTCAATCTGCTCTCTTCTATGCATGAACTAACCAGAGTATAATATATATACTAGAAACTCTCGCGCTCTTTGCACGCCCTACCCACCGAACTGTACATAAGAGGAAGTCAATAAACATGACCGACCAATAATAGGAGCTAAAGTAATTACAGAACATAAAGTCATTTGCCCTGTTCGCTTGGCTGATAAGCCATGGTTGAAAGTACTGTTGGCTGATTTGTTATGAGAGAAAAATACTGTTCGTTGGCTGAAAAAGTACGGCTTATAAGCCAAGCAAACAGGGCGATTTATATAGGTATGATATGCAAGAAGCGTAGTCTTGCAGACCCATAGGGTTATGTCTAATGACATATACATGCAGTCCCATAGGGTTCTTTGCAGTGACATATTACATGAAGGATCAGAATTTGTGCCTAGCAAAGGTTCCAATAGTTCCAAACAATGATCCAAATTTTCATCCAGTATCAAAGCATGTCTATGATACTAAGGAAGACAATTAGCAGCCAAGCAATTTACAAACATATTCGGTTGACTGAAACAGAAACAACTATTTCCAACGGGGAATCCGACTGCTATGCATACGGAGGCATTGCCTTGGTTGTCCTCGCTCTCTTACAACCTGTTCGCTGGTTAGTTTATGAGCTGATAAGTCCAGCTGGTGCTGGTTTATTGTGAGAGAAAAATATTGTACCATAGCTGATAAGCCCTGACTGAAACCAACGAGCGAACAGGCTAGTCTGGTGATCCTCGCCACTGACAAGAACCTTTGAGCATTGAAGGACTTTGTGTGTGTGTGTGAGAGAGAGAGAGAGCTGCACAATAGTCAATGGTAATGCATAAGATGTTGGAGTAAAAACAAACCTAAGAGACATAAATATCCAATACAAAGGGAAATCAATTGATTTTAGTTATGTTTCTACCTTATTTTGCAAAGATGTGTTGTTCTTCAGAAGCCACATGAAATGCATATGCTGCGCTGCTGTTTCTTCATAACAAAATATGCATGCAGTTGATGAAACCAGTAGTAGGTTTCTTTGATGCAAAAGACCAAGTGCTACTTGTCAAGTAACCGTACACAAAAGAGCTAGCTGTAATTTTTGGAGACAAATGGTTGGTGTTTTTTCCTTTTTTGGTGGCTATAAACATTGCTCGCCCTGCGATGTGAAAATCTATGAGAGAAAAGTATAGCCAAGACCAGGGGCGGAGCTAGAGCTAATTCGAGGGGGGCTTGTCTTGTGGGTGCGTAACTTTTATCATTATGGTGCAAATATGGTGAAAATTTGAACATTATAACTTTTTTTTTTTTCTATGGGTGCGGGCACACTCACAATTCTCTATATAGATCTACCCATGGCCAAGACCACCGAACAAAGAGAGAAATTAACAAGTCAGAAACAAGAATGGTGTTCTTGGTGTGAAATAGAGCATTTTTTATCGCTTGTAATTGCATTGATATATATGACCTCGCAGGAGCAACTGGAGGACTGATAGTCTCTGAAACTGCACTTAGTGTATTTTCAGATCTTCAGTGAGCCTGTAGATGCACATGGGAGAAGGAAGCAAAGGTCGTAGCTATGGGCAGCAGCAATAG